TTTCAGCCATAGTTACCAATAATTAAAAAGTACATTTCCGAGCAAACAAAAACAAAAACATTCTTACACCTTGTGAACAGCCTCATAACATGTTCCAGACTGTTGCTGTCAGACATTGATGATATGCAGAAGATAATCTTGGATGACGAGAAGTCCCCTGTTGTATTGTTTGATCATGGTCACTTTGCTTTCCTCTGAAGTGGACAGCCTCTGTCAGTTCTCGACAGCATGTTATTCTTAACATACTGGAAAAATGGTGGTGACCATATCAACTGAATAAATATGTGCTATATTTAATTAATGTTTTTTTTTTATTAAATAAATAATTCTCACTCTGGTATCCATTCTGTTAGTTAACATTTCAGTAAACACCGTTGTTTGACATTTACCTAAAGTGAAAATACCAGTCAACATGTCTAATGCATTGCATCCTCATTAAACATGTCTACACAGAGTAACTTCCTGCTGTGACTATTCACCCTCGGTGGGCACGCATCTTCATGTATGACTGATAATCGATGGCGTTCTGCAATTTACGACCTACATTATCTATCCACTACAGCATAAACAGCAAAGACTTGAGAATCAGTGATATGATAAAAATGGCTGTATTGATGATCACGCATCAGGAATTTTCGATTGAAAAGTGAGCGAGCATATGTACCAGTTTGAGGCAAAAACAAAGGGAAGAGATAAAATACTTGCTGTGATGACTCATTCTCTTTACTGTGAAATAAAGATAGACGTGTTGAAGCGCTATTGGAAGTCCAGTGTGTGTGGTGATGATGGCACTGCTTAAAAATGGTAGATAAGCTGTTCAAGAGAACAAAAGAGAAAAAAATAAATAAATAAAAAAAAAATAAAACAAGCACCGGACTCTGTCTGTGGTACCTGATGCAAACTTGGAGTTTTGAATATTTTACTAGAAATCTGTGGATCTGTGCCTTTTTTTTATGAACATGTAAGTTCATGTTTTTTGAAAAAGCTAAAGCTGTTTTTACAAAAAATAATTATATATATATATATATATATATATATATATATATATATATATATAAATCACTGAGCGATCTCAGTGAGAAATACGGAACTGCCCAAATTTCCAACTTGAATTTAACAAATATCTTGTAGCTGTCTCCACAGTTATTGAAATTTCTAAAATATCTTAAAATAATTTTTTTAATCTCTTGTGGCAGCCACCCGGGGATGTCTTAGAGTTTGCTCGTACAATGCTCTGCCTATTTACTCATGGCTCAGCCTTGGAGCTACAGGCACCAGCCGAGCTCCTGCTCCCCCCCCCCTCGACCACAGAACTCAACCAGAATAGTGGTTGCAAAAATCAGCAAACACCTGGTGAAATCTGTGTGACTGCTGAGATCATTATACTAACTACTTTTCAGTCCAGTCCTCTTTGAAAACTGCATCAATGGACACCATGGAAAAGCGTTGTCATTATGGTGCGTTGAAGGGGGAGAGTCAGCATGGATACGAGGTTCTTAAAGAGACGGAGCCCAATTTTAAGGCATCAGATATGGCTGTGATGCCATGACAAATTGCCTTCAAATTTCAAATTTCCTTTAAGTCATGTTTGATATGTACACCAATTAAAAAAAAAAAACAACAACAAAAAAAACAAAAAACAAGTGAAGATAACATAGTTACTTGATTTTGCTGTAAAATGGCACTATGTGCCTGGAAAAAAACAGAATACCTTATTTTAAGTATTTTATAAAAGGTATTCATGACCTGTTTTTAAGATGATTTGTTGGGAAACTTCCGGTTAGTAATCCATGGCTTCCTCTTTTCCTGAGGTCTAAATAGAATAAGACACAGGAGCCCATTTCTTTTTGCCCTTGGCCACTGGGCATGACAAGGACCCACCTTTATCCTGCCACACATACTGAGGAGGATAGTAAAGAAGTCAAACCTCCTTCTAAATATTTTTTTTAATGCCATGCCAGAAAAAAAAAGGTTCTTTATCCTACCATCAGATATGCAAAAATGCAGAGTTCTCTAAATGATACTGGGACTTGAACTGAAACTGTGTGCTCTGGCTGGATGAAACTAAAGTCACTTTCACACTGTTTCCTATTATGCCAGGTATGCATGTTGCATGTCTGCATGTGTTAGGGATTTTTTTTTCTAAAAGAACAGATGAACAGATGGTATGCCAAGTAACACTCTGAGGAGGACCTGTGATGCTTGTAGCTTGTTTCCTTTCTATATGCACATTTTACCTCGTTTGAATAAATGTCATCTTGACATGTTTCTGAAATACCAGGACATTGTAATAGAAATATGTTAGTCTCTCTCAGAAAACTTTCAGTGAACCAATGAATGAACTTACAATCTAGATTTAGATGGTGCAGAGGAATTGTCAAAGATCCCTCTCCCTATGTGCTTTAACTATAAATTTCTATAGAAGACAATAACTGGCAAAAAAGGAATTGTACAATAAATGTGGCAAAAGCGATTGTCAGTTTTGCAATCCTTAATTTTTCAAAACAGTGCATTTTTTTGTTCTCTACAAAAAGAAAAAAAAAATACTTTAAAGGTTGTTTTTTTCAGATAATGCTAATTTGACAAATGAATATTGTCTTTTTTTATTATTTTATTTTAATATTTGGAGATAGAACTGTAAGTACAAGAAATATAGGCACGTCTGGAAACAATATTCTGCCTGCAATGTGCTGCTAAGAACTGGTGTGATGCAGCACTTAACTGGACAAGATATCCCTAACAGGTAGCTTATTCAGACACTGGATGTAGAAAACAATAGCAATTCTAAAGGCTTTCAGGTTTAAAAGTTGTCGTATTTCTTCTGAAAATTGTTCACATGTTTTGTCTCTAATGATGAAACACTTCAAAGCATTAAGTTAGAATTTGAAATATTCTTTTTTTATTTATTTAAAGTTAATTGTGTAGTTACGTCTTATGTTTTCCTTTTTTTTGCTTGCTTTATACCACCATTTAAATTAAATTATTCCAAAAATAAAATAAACATAATTAAATAAATAAATATAGTCCATTAATACCAGTTCTCTCTTGAGATGACTAAAACTGGATATGTGTAGGACTGTGTAATGAGATTAAGAAACTGTGCCAAACAAGGTTAGGATTTTGGGTAAAAAAAAATACACACACACACACACACGCACACATTAAAAACAGCTATAGATGAAGTGTTAGGGTCATATTCCCTGTAGTTTATGTATCATCTCCATCAAGATGTGGAGCAGGTGTTATTTAGACAGTCCTAAATTTATGAATCGCACTTTATGAGATCACTGGTCTCATTTAACTACACTGATGTTTCAAACATCTGTAAGTGATCATAATTTCACTTCCATTAAGTGCACATTAGCCAGAGCATTACCAGCTGAGGAGAAAGATGTCACGTAATGCATCATTCGAGGCATGCTTTAGTCAAATTAATTTCTTTATCGATGAAAAAGAAAAGTGGCTTTCTACTTTTTAACCATTTAACTATGCTCCTTGGCAGCTGAAATGAGAAAATAAATCTTGATTTCTTCAGTGCATCCTCTTTTTTATGGAGGAATGTTTTTTTGCTTTTTTTTTCCTTCTCTGAGAGTTAAATCCTTTGGTGGATGTCCTAAAACCGACAAAGTTGAAAGTGAAATGAATCCTTCTTCACAAAGTTTGGAAGCTCAGGGACCCAAAAAGCAACAAGCGCATTTGTTATTATTTATGTAAGCATGTCGTCCTCTCGTCTAATGAGCCTTTCACCGTAAGCATAATGAAACAGCTTGCATTAGCACAGGCTAAATGAGCAGCCAAGAGTTCCCGTGTCTATGCAGCAGGATGCAAGCAGATGTTCCACAACCCAAACATAACAAACCAAGTTCTACAAAGGAGCAGAAGGGACTTAGAGTCAGCATCGTTCTCATCAGCTCATTGACTCCATTTGAAGATGGGTGTATGGTAAAAAAAAACTTGTGAGAACAACACCTAAATGAGTCATGGCCAACTAACCACGAATGAGGCCTCAAATTGATTTTTTTCCCCTTCCCCCTATGAATGCATCAGAAATGTACAGCTAACAAACCTGGAGTCAAAGTGAATGTGTTGTCAACAGTTCAAAACTATTTGAGAACTATTTCCAAACATTTAGTCAACAAGCTTGGAATGTGTGTGTTATAAAAGTGTTTAGTCATTTACATGAGGCAATATTCCATGAATGGATATATCAATATAAAAGTAGTTAAATAAATAAAAAAAAAAAATCAAAAGGAAAACAGATATATGACAACATTTTGTCACAAACACTCTAGAATAGCTCAAATATTATTGGTGTCAACATTAAGACATCTGAAAAAAACCATAGACATTTATTACAATATCTAAGAGAGTATAAATGTAGAAATTTTATTCATGGAACAGAATGAGGGACTTTAAAGTGATAAATCTAGTGTGTCTCCACTGGCACTTAAAACCTCTATCTTGTTTTAGAAATTGGTAAAGGTCCTGAGCTGAAAACTAGTCTTGTGTACATTATTTTAAAATTATGTACTAAAAACTAGTCCTGTAACTGACACTTTGGGAAAAATTGAGTTTAAAATCTGAATCCTATTTGGACTTCTAATGAGGCAAAACAAATTATTATAGCAAAAACAGGATTTTGGAGAAAAGTTTATTCACTATTATAAAATAAATGTTTTATAATTTAAGAGAGAAGTCACCAAATAATGTGTTAATCTTTGCAATGGATGCTACATTACACTGATATTAGGGTCTGCAAAAGTCATTATTCTCCTTTTGATGCAAGAAATGCAGCTGACACTGCGCACTAAGTTTAAGCCAGATATTGGAAACTAATTTGTGAATCAAACAAAAGGTAATTGTCACCATCAATCATAAGCCAGGAGCCAAAAAAAAAAAAAAAAAAAAAAAAAGTTTCAAAAATCTCTTTTGGGGGGTTTTTAATTAAATCTGCAAGGCATTGTTCGAGCCCCCATAAAAGGTTTGATTTGAGAGCTCACCTGTACCAGTCCAGTCCCTTCTCGTAGTTCCTGTCAAAGAAGTGTGGCTCATTCCCAACGGCTCTCACGTCCGGGTGCACCCTGAGAGCCTCCAGCAGGGCTCGGGTACCCCCTTTCTTCACCCCGATTATAATGGCTTGGGGAAGTTTCTTCTCCCCGTAATCCGAGGTGCAGTTCACCCTGAGTTCGCTGTCCGTGGTGCTGATCTCCTGGCGCTCCCTCTCCGGCGCGGTGGGGCGAAACGCCGCTGCAGATTTAGTTGGAGATGCCTGCGTCCTAATCCACTCCACTGTCCTTTGTTCGGCCTCATCGTGCTCCCCTACTACCGTCGGAGCCGCGGTTGTTCTCTCAGCCTGCGTGAATTCCGTGAAGCCTGGCGAAGCCGAGTAAAGTTTCTCCCTCAGTGTCACAAAAGTTGTATCCTCCGTCACCAGCCTGCCCTGAAACACATAGTTCTCCTGCAGCGGGAACTGCAGCGAGTTGTAGCAGCTCATTAAGCTGTAGAACAAGTAGGTGACGGAAAGGGAGAGGGTGAACATGAATAAGATTTTCCGGGGCACTTTAGAGGTGAAAACCGAAGTGCTGGACCAAAATGCCATCTCTGATAGCAGCGATCCTCTCAAAGAAGTGGCCAGACATGTTTCCACCCCGAGTCTTGCATGGACAAAATCAACAGTAAAAATCAGTCCCCATCAGCGCTGCTCCAGCTAAAAAAGCGCCAGGCTGGACCAGACCACCCTAATCCAACCAAAGCGCATATTTATCAGGATGGCTGAGGAGGGGGTGGAGGAGGAAAAGGGTCGTTAAAATTCCGGAGGAATATCGCGTCTCTTTTCTTGAGTATTGATTTCTTATTCCAGTGCTGACAGACAATGACACAATTTATTGGACTGAACTTGCATATTTGAGAGACTGAACGTCTGGCGCCCTTCCAGATGAACAGCCCGGCTTGAAGTGGACAGTGTGCGATAAACGGAATCCTGGCATTTTTTTTTTTAAGAAGAAGGGCGAAAGAAGAAAGCAGAGTGTTCAAAGTACAGGCTTCTTCCTATCAGCCGCTGAGTCTGAAGTCCAGTCCCGTCTGCGATGAAAAGAGTGGATTTCCATTCAGACAGAAAGCCTACAAATCCACCGAGTCTCTCCAACGTGAAATAAATGAACACAAGACCATTTGCGCTTCTTTCTATTTACTTTGTGCTGCGGAAAGTCGACAGCCTTTGCACAAAAGCTTACACACTTCCCACTGACTACCAGGCTGCCGCTCGGTGTCCTTACGCCTTCTCACATTGGTAGGATCCTACGATGTGCGCATCGGCTGTGTGAGCTCATCTGAGCTGAGGCACAGTAAAGCCACACAGTACAACTAGTGTGTACACCCACCTTTCCTCGTGTCCGCGCAGAAAACAGCGCTGTAAACGTCAGATTTCCTAATCTGAGGGAGTTTTGTGATGGAGAAAATTCCGCTCATTCCTGTGGCTGCTGGCGGAGATTAGACTCCCGCTGCCGAGATTTCTCAGCGCTTACCATGAGGTGAATTAACGGAGTGTGTGGAGTTCACAATTAAGATCAATCTCAGAAACATCATTTAGATATGTATTTTTTTTCTTCTTTTTTTTAGAGAAAGCTCATGCCTGCACCCTGCTGGTTTTTTATAGAGAATTACAATAGTTAAACTTACAACAACAACAACAAAAAAAAGTTTTGTTTTACAATGCCGAGTTGAAGTAGATAATGTTAAGTTGTCTTGTATTCAATTTATGCTTAATTCAATCACTGGAATTTTGAATCTCATGTTTGCTCATCTACTGACACAAACTGTATAAGTTAAATAAATCACACGTACAGTCAATATTATACACATTATAAAGCAGAAAAGATCACCAGACATGTTAGCGAAACTAAAAATCTCAATGGCATGTTCAAAAGTCTTGTCAAATAAATAAAATAATCATCAAAACCTTATCATACAGATCCTTTTGCACAGTGAGAGAAATTTGTTAAAATCCAATTGATTCCAAAGCTATCTCCATGATTGAGGAGCAATGTATATATATACTTTTTCCTTATCTCAGTAGTCACTGAGCACCTGGCCCAGTCAATAGGAAGTGGAGTGAAAGATTTAACTTGCTGCATTTTTTTTTGTAGAAATAAAGAATTTACATATAATGACAGAATGCAAAGAATATTTTCATAAATATCTTTCCAGCAAAGCAGAACATCTAGTACATTCTGCTAATGTAAAAAAAAAAGTGGTGTTTCCATTAAATAAGAAATTACATTAAAGTCATAATTGAATATGTATGTTCACATGATAAGTAATCAAAAATCATGGCAGTAACAGATATAAACAGCTACATGTGACATGTTCATATTTCAGCCATGGTGCTAGCACTCTATATGCAGGATTTGGGGAAATTGTGGTTTTCCAGAAGAGCTATGGATTCAATATGTTCAAATGACACACAACTGTGCGATTTTTGTGAGAACTCTGGTGGAGCCAGCTGCACATTGTCAAAAAAAAAAAAAAAAAAAAAAAAAAAAAAAAAAAACCACAAACCATCATCCTCCTACTACTTCCTGCCATCTTCTTTGTGCTTTGTGCCAGTGGCCACATCCGGCTGTTGATTACGGCACTCCTGTGATGAAAAAAAAAAAAAAAAAAAGTGTTTCCGTTGCAGTTTGTTGATATACATCTATTTTGATACAGCCACAAAAAACACCTCATCCTAACGCAACAACTTTTTATTGAGAAACTTTTCTAAATTGCCATGTTTTCATTTAGCAAATTTATTTCCGTAATTCCAATTTGTGGAATTCTATCATAAATGGAAATGGAGTTTATAAAAGATGTACTTTGTAGGTAAACCTGCAGACAAATCCAATTCCACAAAGTATGAAACATAACTATAAAATCTTCATGTGCAAATGTAAAACTATTTGACAAGCTTGAAGATCTTTTAAATGTTAATTTATTCATTCATCCATGTTTTAAAACTCAACTAACTTATTTATTTCAAACAAAAGATTCATGGCCACCTCTGGATCAGCGATGTGCGGTCAGGGGAGAACTCTCCTGTAATCCTGAAAAGTAAAACAGATGCTAATAATGATGAGAGAACATCAAATTTTTTGTATAAATTATTATTTTTTTATTTGTAATGTCAAGAACAGCGATTTTATTTTATGGCTAAAAAAAATCTGCAGGTTTGCAGCATTTCTTCTTGCTGCAAACCTGCACTTCAACAAAAATAAAAAAATAAAAAATCTAACATTCAGAGCTTCTGATGTACTCCAGCACATATGTTTACTGATTATGTGACCATATTTACAGTCACACTATGTTAATAAACAATACTTGCTAAAATTTACATTCCATTTGCTTTTTATGTCACACTTGCAGATGGAGACAGTAGACGGTACATTCTTGTCGATACTCAGGCCTACATGTTGTTACTAATGCTTCTTTTGCTGTTTCTGGAGTTTACGCTTACAATCAGCACAACAGAAAGATCCTTTCGGGACACGGATCAACTTTATCCACTTAAAATGCAACTACACATTCAGACAATCCTTATTGATGCAGCCAGTCACATCATCATTCTCCTCATTGCTGTCAGAAAAACACAAATGACTTGTTGACTATTTCATAGGTTCTACTTTTGCTAGACACTGAACTGATTCTCATGAAGATTAGAAAAAGCCTGAAAAAAAAATGCTGCTTCTATGTGATACTGTTTCCTATCAATATGGTGCATCTCTGAGAGATAGCTTACTTCTGGTTTGGTCTTGTGGGAGCTATGTATAGTGGCAAATGTTAGGTTTAAAATTGGGTAGAGTTGGAGGTTGGCATGCTCCAACTAGTCTTCCAAAAATAGTCCAGAATAACAAAATATCTTAAAGTGTTTTTAAATAATCCTCCTGGAGCTAAGGTGATTAACGGGGAGCATAAAACGGAAATTTGTATTTAGTTTAGGTTACACTAAGTTAAGATTGTTGATTTATAAGACAAGTAAGAGTGTGCTGTGATATTCTCATATCAGAATGAGAGGTCAAGGGGAGTGTTAAGTTTTCCTCTGTAAATATCAAAGAAAGCAGTCATGTATTCTGCACCATGCCACTACTTTGGCACATCATACTATAAGCATATTACACATTTATGGGCGCTGACTGTAATTGCTGCCCGGAATATTCAGTGGACCTCAACTTGTACACTCTGTTCCCACAATATGATGATCTAAAATTGCATGTCACCCACATGCCTCCATGGATTAGCGAATCTAATTCATCACACACCAGGAGAGTCATTGTCACAATAAGTAATCAGTCACAAATAATTTGCAGGGCCTGGTTGTCTGGACAAAAAACAAAAGCTGCTGGGTGTTTTAAACTGTGTTGGGAAAGAGGAAATATTTATATGAACTTGCTGCTTGATTACATTTGTCAGTTCTAAATGCCTGTTACTTACTGGGGATGGATAGGAGGGATGGTGCGAAAATCCTTGATATCTATTACAAAGTTAGTGTCCTGCCATTGCACGTTGGCATTCAACAAGTCTTAATACTCCCACTGAATGAGAAAGCCTGTTGCTATTCAGGTTTCCATACAGAGGTGAAGAAAATAGTATCACTGCAAACCTTTCTGTGCCTCATTCTTGTGCTCAGGTTAGAGGAGGTGATGTTTAAAATCTAAAACTAGTATTTTTTTACTACAAGTAAGAACAGCTAAGATCCTTTTGGGAAGCAATATCAAGTAGTTATCAAATAATGCTGATGCCTAACATACAAAAATTGAAATGAAATATAGGCTCAAATAATGCAAATTAAACTTCATCAAACATTAAAAAATATGTCAAGCAAAATTAAATGTGTTAAAAACAGTTGTTTATATGTGATCACCAGTGTTTCCGTGAAGAGTAACTTTAATCTTTTGCTGAATAAAAACAAAGCAACATTCTCTAAAAAAATAAATAAAATAAAAAAATCAAATCTGAAAAAGTCCGTTCCGAATCCCTGTTCCAACTCCATTTCTCAGTTCGAAACATCTCGTGCGTGACAAACAAGAGCCTTCCGTAGCAATGCAGGTGATTGGGTGAGTGGGAGGGGAGCACGGGCAAGTGTTTGGAGCACAATGGTTCCTGGATGTTTGCTGTCAAGAGAGCGTAGGAGAGCTCAATGAGTTTGTTGAAATTGTTGTATTCGCAAATTGCCACTTGGTGAAGCAGAGAGCTCTCTAACACCAACTGCCACGTTTGTAAGGTCCCGGCATTTTCCGACTACCTGTCTAAGAGCCACCCAGACACAGTTTTTTGTGAGCATGCTCAAACAGCCATGACATAAAGCAGCTAAAGTAGAATGTCTCAGTTTAACAGTGGGAATTATCTTTATTAAGATGGCTTCTCCTCCTCCCCACTGATGATAAATTACTATCCAAGCACGAGAGACAATATATTGAGCTGTTTGATCTTCCCTTTGTTGCGCCTGTTATCTCAGCTATTCATAAATCGCTCAGACTTTGTGCTTCCCCCATGGATGCTTTGTGATGAGATAGTGTCTATTTGCGTTAACAAATAAGCAGTCACTCAAGAAAAAATGTGTTCAATGAGGATGAGGTGGGGCCAGACAGCTCTGTTGCATGAGATTCAGTAAGTCGAGCTTAAAGGCCAATGTCAAATTTACCTTCAGGCAACAAGTCTTCATGGGATTAAACAATTTAATGTTATTTAAATCATTTTTTGACTGGTGCTGCTTCAAATATAGATAAACAGCACTGGTTAAATTTATTGGCACCCTCAGTGAAGTTGGATTAAGATCCTTAAGTATTTGTATTGTTTATTGCAGTAGAATCCAGCCTTTAATTTGAGTAATAGAGTGGGAGAGGGGCAGGGGTGAATCCAGTGATTGAAACTGAAATCTTGATGCAATTATTGGTGCCTCTAATAATTCAAAGCGAAATACTAGTTTTCTACTTAAATATTTACAAATTTCACAGAGAGGATTATTTAAAAAAAAATGTCAGAGCATCCAGGGGTCAGACATCTCTCATGCTCTCTTCTCCTCAATGTATCCACCTGGGTTTCTATAGAATTTAGGCTAATGGAAGTCGGTTCTTTTTGTCTTTGATAAACCACTGCTATGTTAATTTCAACATATGATTTGGATCATTATCCTAATGAAAGTGTCAGTAACATCAGCATTATGGTTTACTGGTAAAGTCCACATGATTTTTATTTTTAAATGTTCTGGTGATTTAAGAAGTTTCAGATTATAATTTTAAGCATCCAACATACCGAGGTGAGTGAAGCTTTGCAATAATTTAGAGTGAGAACGACATCATTCAGTATAATACGGCACAGGTTAGTCACTACAGTGCAGTAAGTTAAAAGTAAAAGATTGGGTTTTAACTTTGAACCTCATGAGGCACTGTACCTGCAACTTGAATTAACATGAAATCAAATGTCTTGATTACTATGCGATTATAGAAATCCATCTTCATTTAGAATATAAGAAATGTATC